CTCTCTCTCTCTCTCTCTCTCTCTCTCTCATCGAAAAGATATATTAATCGAAAGAATAAGAATTTATTCCTATAGAGAGATAAAATTCTGTCGATTTATAAAACTATTATTCTTAATGTCTTTTTAACAAAGAATATTCTTTCACTCCTTTTTCTCGCTCTCCCTCTCAAGCGAAACACGTCTCGCATTGAAATGAGTTTTTAGTTTGTCTTTCACTTAATATTCTTTAACTTATATATAATAATAATATTATTCTTTGCGTTTCAGTCGAGCTTCCGATGCGTTGTCGATATTGAAGACACTAAACAACTGGTGAGCGCTCGGGTCGACGACAATAGGATTGTCTGCGCGGAGACCGCTGTAAGTAATCTATGAATAAAATCTCAACACTTTTTTTGTCATCACTTTTCTCTCTCGAAGTCATTTTGATAATTAAAAAGTTTTTTCAGTCGATCTTTTCGACTCATTTATCTATAAATATACCCAAAAAGAAACAAAAAACAAAAAACTAATGAAAATAGAGAATAGATTAGAGCCTTAAATAGACTTTTTTGTTAGTTTTTGTGATTATAAAACCCTTTCCAGTGATAATGAATTTATGGCACAAAAGTCTACTTTAATTAATTAAACATTTGAAGTGCGAAATATCGCCCACTGAGACCATACATACCAACGCTATACTAATAACTCACTATATCTCAAATCTATTGTTATATAAAATTAATTACACATCAATTAAGAAACAAAATTAATAACCAAAATATTGTTCATTTCCTATAGTATTCCTATCGGACAGAATTGGGTTCAATACAGGCGTCGGTGACAGTGATGTGGAACGGCGACACATTTATCGACAGAGCCAATGGTAATTCATTACATCCCATATTTAATGACATTTATGACACTTAACACAAACCAAATGTTTTAATATTGCGGCCAATAATTAATCAAAACCACTATTATCTGTGTTTTCCTCTCCATTCGCCACCCAATCAATAGTCACTGTATATAAGTGTCATCTGTTGGGCAGCCATAACGGAAGGGCCGACTGTTCGCTGTGTCTGACGCTAAACACTGCCTACGAGTGCGGGTTCTGTAACAACCAGTGCTCGTATAAGCAGTCGTGTCAGGAGCCGGCGTCCAACGTGTGTCCGCCGCCCAGAATCGATTGGATGCACCCCTTGTCCGGACCCATGAGTGGCGGCACTCTTGTCACCATTGAAGGCAGTAATTTGGGCACAGATTTGGACGAAATTAGGGATAAGATCTCCGTCGGCGGACAGCCGTGTGTCCCACTCAACTATAGTGTGTCAGTGCGGGTCACCTGCAGGTATGGCATCACTTAATTAGGTCCACAAAGTGCTCCCACTATAACCATCTTATTTTATTTGTAGGACAAGTCCTGTATCTCAACCCCTATTGGCTGATGTGGTTGTGGGCAATAAGGCTGGCTTTACGGCAGCCAAAGACAAATTCCGCTACGAAGTGCCCGAAATCGTTGGCTCCCATCCCAACATCGGTCCCCATTCGGGCGGCACTCGTATCTACATCTCCGGCACAAACCTAAACATCGGCTCAAATCTGGAGATATATTTAGATTACTTTCCGTGTATTGTCGACAAAATGCTCGTCAGTTCCACACAAATCAGTTGCCGAACCACTGCCTCGAAGTCCACCTCATATGTGGTGCGGAACCTGATCGTACGGATAGACAACACGACACTAACGCTCGCCCGACCCTTCCGTTACGTTCCCGACCCCACAATCTTACGTATATATCCGCTCAAGAGCTATATGGCCGGCGGTCGCACCGTCACCATCATTGGCACCAATTTGGATGCCATACAACAGCCCAGACTCGCCGTCTTCAACAGCGACGGCAATGTTGTCAACGAAAGTGCCTGCGAAGTGACCTCCGGCTCGCAGATGGTGTGTCCGTCGCCACCAGTGGGCTCGCAGTTGGCCACAGATGTGCTGAATCGGGAACAATTGGACGCCTCATCGCTGGTCTCTTCGCTGAGCGTCAACGAAATGTCGGACGACATTCGTCTGAGGGTTGGCTTTATTATGGACGCCGTGAACAGTGTTAAAGAGTTGGCCACAAACTTCCCGACCGTTCACTCAGACCTGGGCTACGTTCCCGACCCGAAGTTCTTCGCCTTCGATGAGGGCCTCAAACTCTATAAGGGAGAGTCGCTTGTGATTGAGGGCGAGTATCTACGACTGGCCAGCACTGAGTCCGAAGTGAATGTGACGATTGGCACCAAATGGTGTAATCTCACGTCATTGGCCGCCACCCAATTGGTGTGTCTGCCGCCTGAGCTCCAGCCCGACGGCACCGACGAGATCGGCCGCCGAACGCCCGGCGCTCTGCCACTCGTTGTGGTGAAAGTGGGCTCAAACTTGCGCTACGAAATCGGTTACCTTCAGTACGAAGTGGTCAAGTCTACGGAACTGCCGCCCATTGCCATTGTGGTGATCACAGTGTCGTCGGTGGCGCTCATCCTCTTTGTGTTGATATCGTTGGCAATCATGAGACACAAGTCATCGCAAGCGGAGCGCGAATACAAGCGGATTCAGATGCAAATGGATACTCTCGAGAACAGCGTCCGATCCGAATGCAAACAGGCGTTCGCCGAACTCCAGACCGATATGACAGACCTGACCAACGACTTGGTGTCGATGGGTATACCGACACTCGACCACCGGACGTATGTCATGAAAGTGTTCTTCCCCGGTCTGTCCGATCACCCCCTCTATCAGTGCACTCGTATCCGACAGAACGGCGCTTACAATATCTATGAGTTAGCGATGGCTCAGTTCGAGCAACTCCTCAACAATAAGGCATTCCTCTTGTCTTTCATCAATAGTCTTGAGAATTCAAAGACATTTAGCATTAGAGACCGGTATGTGTTGGAAATGGCATTGAAATTCATTAAACAACTACTAATTATATCACATTTGTTGTGCCCATTAGTGTAAACGTTGCCTCACTATTGATGATAATCCTTATGGAGCGCATGGAATACGCGACGGATGTGTTGCGGACACTGCTCTACCAATTGGTGGACAAAAGTGTTTCGTCAAAACACCCGCAACTGATGCTCCGGCGGACGGAATCGGTGGTGGAGAAGATGCTGACCAATTGGTTGGCGCTCTCGATGTACGACTACGTGCGAGAACAGGCCGGCTCTCAGCTGTTCCTACTCTTCTCGGCCATCAAACGCCAGGTAGAGAAGGGACCCATCGATAACGTCACACATGACGCCCGGTATTCGCTATCGGAGGAACGGCTACTTCGGGAGCACTACTCCGACTACGAGCAGATCATAATCCAAGTGTTTCAGGTATTTTGACCCCCATTTGAGCACATGTTTTAAACAATGAAAAACAAAAACTAATCAATCAATTGGTGTATTAGGAGAGCGAAAACGAGAAGATCTTGTGTCGAGTGAACGATTGCGATAGCGTTAGTCAAGTGAAACACAAACTACTGGACGCTCTCTACAAGAATACCCCGTTTTCGTTGCGGCCGTCCGTTCACGACGTGGACCTCGAGTGGAGACACGGAAGGGGCGGTCATCTCATACTTCAGGACGAAGATCTCACCACCAAATCAGAGCACGGATGGCAACGCATCAACACATTGAGACACTACGGGGTGAAGAACTGGGCCCTCATGTCACTAGTGATGCGCCAGTCGTCCGATAGTTACATGTCGTGCGGCACCAGACACTCGCTGTCGCCCATTATCACCAAAAGCTCGCATCCGTTCATAACCAGCGATTTGGATACCGACCGGTATTGGCATCTAATCAAACCCAACGACGACTCGATGGATACTAAAGACGCTCTCCTTCACAAAGCGATTCCCGAGATATTCCTCACGAGACTCCTGTCCACCAAAGGCACGGTTCAGAAGTTTGTCGACGACTTCTTCCAGACAATACTGTCGGCAAACGAAACACTTCCAGGTATTTAAACGATTAAAAATTTGCATCTGTTTTGCAGGTTTACTAAATGATGTTTTTTTGTTGCATTTGTAGCGGCAGTCAAATGGGTATTTGATTTGTTAGACTCGGCGGCCGCCAAACACCAGATCACTGACCCGGAAGTGCTTCACGCCTGGAAATCCAATTGTCTTCCACTCAGATTTTGGGTGAACTTCATTAAGAATCCAGACTTTATACTCGATGTGTGCAAAACACCGACACTCGACTCCAGCCTATCGGTGATCGCACAGACACTTATGGACTCGTGCTCTATGAGTGAACACCGATTGGGAAAGGTATGCAATCATCACTATTTTTATATAATTCATACATAATTTAACTAATTATGTGTTTTAATTATGATAATTAGGACTCGCCATCGAATAAGCTATTATTTGCCAAAGATATTCCTAATTATAAAGTGATGGTCAATCGATTTTATAACGATGTCTCTCATATGCCGGTCGTAACCGACCAGGAGTTGAGTGCAGTCATGCAATGCCTGTCACTGGTATGTCTATATTTACCATATTGTTTGTTTGAAATGAAATTTACATTCATTTTTGTCCTCCAGACTCATACGGGAGAGTTTGACACCGTATGCGCCCTCAAAGAGCTGTTTGTCTATTCACACAAATATAACGCTGAGATCATGGATGCGCTACAAAGGGATCCAATGACACAACAATCGGTCCAGAAGTTTGCAAATCTTATTAATCATAAGTTTTAGCGCTGTTTTTCACGACTACTAGTTTTTTGAGAACAATTGTTTACTTGTGTCTCAAAAGGCAAAGCAGAAAAATGATTTTATTCCTCACGAAAAAGACATTTCCATTCAATTTGTTTTATTTTTGAATCAATGAAACAATACTTGAAATGTTTTATTGCTTTTAATGAATATACCTATTATTTGTTGTAAAATAATTTATTATTTGTATTATAGTTTATAAATGAAATGAAATATTTTCTAATATAAAATGAAATGTTTAATTAATTTAAAGAATTAAATTAATATTTTGTTGTGTTATTACAAGAAAAAGTCATGTCTTATATAATTTTACACCAATTTTTATGATATAATTATTTATTATGTTTTTAATTCACAAATTTTGTTTAATTTAACACAATTATTGTCACCATAATTATAATACACACACATATAGATAGAGGAAATTCACGTAATTTCGTTTCCCAATCACTACTAAACGAAAATGGCTTTGAATTAGCTTTTTATCGCTTATCATATATCAGACAAATGTATTCATTTTGTTAGACAAAACATCTTATTATTGAGTTTTTTAGTGCCTTTTCACTCATTCATATGCGCTTTGAAATCAACGATTAAAAACTAGTACCAGTAAAAGATAACAAGTTTTTAATTTAATGTAATTTTATTGCTTTTGAATCTGTATTTCAATGAACGCATAGAATATATGAAACGAATTACTATTATTTCAATCGAGAGATAATTATTTAAAATACGCGAAGAAAAAACACTATTAAATATTAAACAAAAATTTATGAATAAAATTGTGATTTTATGGTTAGAAATACATATGAAATATAAATCTGATAATAATAATAATAATTTGAAAATATATTGAATGCAATTATATATAAATAATATTTGTTTTTATATAGAAATTAAATTTGAGAAAATGAAAAGAGAGAAAAAACATGTTTTATAAATTGTAAATATAATATAAGTTTTCATAAATGTATATATATTTGTAATTATAATTTATTAAATTGAATTATTGTTCGCTCTATTTGTATAACAAAAAATAAACACGATAAATAATGTATTTAATTTTAAAAACTCAATAAATTATTAATTTTTAAATATATCAGCCTAATTTAATTCTTTAAATATCTTAATAAATTGCATCTAACCATAATTGAACAGAAATATCACTTATGTAAAATGCTGGGTGTACTGTACAGTTATTGATACATTAAATGACATTTTTGTCCGATCGTGGTCCATGGTATCACAACTTAATAAGTATAAATTTTATACTATAAAGGTTGTTTTGAGATTCAAAATTAGTTTAGCAGTTTATGCGAATTGTATAATTAAATAATCAAAATTATCATGTGATTAAAAAATATGTGATCTTTACTAAACTGACAACAAATGAGTGCAATATTTGACCAAAAAGTACAGAATTAATAGATAATAAAGATTTGATTTGATTTGATTTGATTTGATTGACAGCCACTTCTTTTAATTGTCATTTATAATCGTCAAAATCAATGTCACATATTTTGGTTGTAAATGACTTGTATTGCAATTTCATGTAATCTATATTTTGTTAATTTGCTCTGTATAAATTAATTTAAAAATACATTCAATTTATTTACCCTGACTTAGCACTCGTTGTCTTTAATAAACTTTTTAATGTTACAAATAAAACACTGTATATAAATAAAACATAAATAATTCAAATGTTAACTAATTCATAATCTATGACTTAAAGTACTTATTATATAATAATAAACTATTATAAAGTAGATATTATAAGACGTTATTTACAATATAAATAATATACTGTACTTTAAGTGTTAACAAACTTTATGACAAATATTGACACTTTTAAATCCACAACATGTGTAACAAATCCCAAACATACAACACGTTCATAAAATTAATGCGAAATTAACAAGAATTCACATATTATTACATTAGGACAAAAGTCCTGATCATAGGAGTCAATAATGCAATACATAATGCCTTTCATAATTCTTACAAACAATATTATGCAATTATTACTTATTTCTGTGTTATTTACTAATTCACCAATCAATCAAATTTTATACTATTTATCAACATTTATAAGTGTTTTTGATACATGAAAAGGATGCACTTTTGTGCCCAACAATAGCAACAAACCATGGGGGTAATCTGTAAACCATGCACGGAATCATTTAAATCCATAGCAGTTAGGTTAATAGTATAGTCAGTGCAGTTATGGCGATTTAAATAGCACCTATTGACTTCTATAAGTTATAGACTATAACAGTTCATATTAGGTTATGCTTATTATAAAATTTTAATTAAATTAAGTTGAAAGATTGAAAGAAAATCAATGATAATATTATTACAGGCGACCGTTTGTTTGCGGTAATCGCTTAGACCTATCAGTTTACTGATAACTATATGTCTATCATATCGTTGAAAAGTCATATAAAAACGTTATACAATGTCCTCGCAATGGTTTGAACGTCGGATGTGTCACTAATGTTCCCACAAAATATCCATTTATATGGCAATATTAAATAATTTGATTTTGACTTGTTTGACAAATTTTGATTTGATTTAGCCTTACATGTTCCCAATGTTCCCAGATAACCATAAGTGTTTTTTCACGTGTCTATATGACTTTTTGTACGTAAATGTTCATACAATTAAAAAGTTTGTTGTATAACAAATTGTAGCAAAATAGTACAATCTAACATAATTATATTAACTAACAAGTTACAAATAAATTTACAAACTAATCATTGAACATGGTCCTATTATTATTTAGACAATTTTATATAAGAAAATAAAAACCAAAGGATTCTTAATTAAAATCCTGAATTTTTAACAATATATATGTCGTTCACTGTAAAGTAGTTATTGTATAAGTTTTGTGTAATTCAAACTTAGATATTCCACACCCAATATCAATGATAAGAAAGTGTTGGCATAATGTATGAACGGATAATGGATAAAGATATGAACTTTCTTTCAATTAAACTGAACGAACAAGTTCGTTTTGTCACAAATATTTAACATGTATTATTTATCAAGATAAACTCTTTGTGTACTGATATAATCTAAACAATTTACTGTATTCATAATCATCGCTACAGTATATAAATGAGTGTCAAAATGCTGTTTTCATTAACACTTCTTCTCGAAGTATATTTTGAAAACATTTAAACATTGAAAATAAAGTCAAAAAAGTTTAGAAAAGTTGTCAAAACGATTGAAAATGTTGTTAATAATAGGCTTACTGTGCATTGCTTTGGCATTTTTCTACTACCAGCGGAAGCAACGGATGTCGGTTCTGGAGCGGAACGGCATCCCTGGCCCTAAACCACACCTCATCTTTGGAAATATGTCCGATTATAACACTTATGGCTATAATGTTTGCTTTGAGAAATGGAAAGCACAATACGGACGAGTCTTCGGCTACTATTTGGGCGCAAAACCGTTTCTCGTGGTCACAGATCCGGAACTCTTGAAACTGATTCAAGTGAAAGACT